GGCTTCCCGAAACCCCAGCGACTATAATTAAACCTTTTCGGGCCAGTAATGCGAGGGCAGCGCCTAAAAATAGGCAACGCTTTTCCCACTTTCACTCATTTACTAATCGGGAAGACCTCCGACTGCGAAATGCGGAATGCCAAATGCCAAATGCGAGTGCTAAATACGAAATGCGAGCATAGAAATGGGAACCTATGTATTTGGTGAACATAAGTAGACAGATATATATCCGCAAACGGGTTGGGGTACAGTCGACACCCACTGATAAGCGGCGCCCGGCAGCTTTTAACGATTGCGTAACTGACAAGACAGCAAAATGGCCGGGGAAATGGAAATGGAGGCGGGTTCCGAGTTGGCCATCGTTAAAATTTGCTTCTAGGGACAATAACGTAAACAACCGCAAGTGAAAGGGAAATGGAACGTGAGTAATTGCCAATATACATATATCTAGTTTTGTCACGAAAATTTGAGCCAGGATATTGACAAAAATAAGGAATTAAAGGAATTATCCATACCTCCTATTTTTTTTTTTATTTTATAAATGGTATAATTGGAAATATTCTTTAAAATATAATATGTATAGTGTTTGAAAAGGGTAAAGATAAGGAAAAATCATACTTCTAAAACATTTTGTTTAAGTTCTTTGTATAACTTCTTGTTAATTTGTTTTAAAAAATTCATTAGCCAAACTCTTCTGAGATATTAAAATCCCAAAAAAACCAATTCTCTTCACTTTTTGACTATCTAATCAAAAACCAGTTATGGTTTTTGGTTCACCCAATAAATCAATGAATTCACTTTCAATTGTCTGTTTATTTCCCACATAAATCATTCAATAGTTATAACTTTGTTTTTGTTCGCGAATTTTTAATTTGTGGGGGTTATTTTATAAATCATTTATAAATGTTCTTTAATACCTTGAATGCCTAAAGTCCATGTTAAGAAGAAAGCTTTATTTTTTTTAAACTAAAACCATCACTGTCAAAAGTAACTTAAGTCAATCAAATCAAAAGCCGCTGCTTTAGACTGCTAATTATTTTTTATCAAGAGAACTGTCCGTTTTTGGGGCTTAAAGTCTTTAGAAGTTTTTAAGGACAGAATCATAGGGAATTTAATTATTTTTTAACCCAGAAGAAATCAACGAAGTGAAATGAAGGCGAGACTTTTGGTGGGCGTGTCACATTTCCATTGTTTATGTTGCAACTTTTATGAACTTGGCTTTTAGTTTTGGCTGATTAGAACAGCTGTTCTGCTGCACTTCTATGCACACACACACACACACACACTCCTCCTCACACACACACGCACACTCACTTATGGAATACCGTTAGCCGGCCCGTAATTTACCGTTCTTTCTGCTGGCTTTTTTTGCACACGCGCACATGCGCGTCACTCACAAAAATTTCACACGAAAAAAAAAGCTGATAATAGAGCGTAGGAAAAACGCGAAAAAAGCACGCACACCTGGGCATCACATGCTGCAACTCGAGCAAATTTGTTTGCCCACTCAGTTAGCACTAAAAACCCATGCGAGTAATCACCACTAATTTGCGAAAACGGGGGACATATGAGTTAATAAAAAAAATGGAAAAAAAAAACCATAGAAAGAAATTAAATTAGGCGAACGATAACGATAACTCACCATTGGCGTGAATATGATTTGTGTTGTTTGGTTGGACATGCTGATACATGACTTGCTACAGTGCGCCAATGTCGTCACTTTCATGTCACTTTAAACACTGCGAGAGAATGAAAGCGTCGCCCTGCGGCTCTGCGTATTTATAAGGCGCCGGGAATCGGAATCGGACTGCGAATCGGCATCGCAATCGGTATCGGAACCTTTCTCGCCGCTCTCCTCTTTCTCCTTCTCCTTGCCCCTCTTCCGCTGACGTCGCGGTCGAAGCTCTGCCGCAGTTGGCGTTTCCCAGTATTTCTCTTTTGGCGCTGCTCCTTTTTCTTTTTGGAGCGGAAAGCAGAGCTTTCGACGAACTTCGCCGGGTGCACTGAAATAAAATGTATAGACACTTTAAATGTTTTATTTATCTTGGGTTGTTTTTGTATAGTATACAAAAGGGGGAGCCCCAACCATTCGCCTTTGGGTTCCTACTTTGCGGTAGGTAAACCACTATGCCATTAATATTAAATTTATTCATTATAACTTAAAAATAAATGGTCGTAAATCGTTGAGTAGTTAAATTATTCAGAACAGCTTAACTGAACTTAATCTTATTTAGAATAAGATTATAATAAAGCAAATCAATCTAAAATTTCATAAAATAACACATTTTATATAATATATATATTAATAATATATAATAACCATAAATGTTCTTAATTTTTTTGTGTGTAGGAAGAGCTTGCGTGGGTGTTCGGCTTGCAGGAGCCCAGAAAAAGAGACAGATAATAAAAGCTAGAGGGAGATGGGCGAATTGATGACGTAGTTGGGCGACGAGCGATGGGCGGAACCGTATTTTTTTTGCAAGGCATGAGACGCACTTGTTAAGCGGTCCACTAAATGCAGTGCTCTGCAGCCAAAAATCACCTGTTCGTATTAATGGTGCCAACAGTGGTGGGCAAGACACTAGCATCCAGTTCAAAACGTTAAAAGAAAACAAATTAAAACTAAATATAATTTATTCCCTTGTAGTCTGCATTTCGCAACGCAAAGAAAAGAGAGCATCGTACAAAAAGTTAATGATGCTTTCTTCATGATTTTATTTTTAATTATATATATTCTGCAATGGTTTCAAACATTTTGAAAAGCCAACTCATAAAGGTGTCATAAAACCAAATTCCAAATGATATGCCTAAAGTTATAGGGCTAAATGGTTTTCTTTATATTGAAATCTTTATATTAAATAGATTATGACAGAAGAAAAAGGTATATTTAAGCTAAAATCGGAAAGCTATCTAATAAGTTCTTACAAGATTTCTTAGAGACAAAAAAAAACCTCTAAAAAATAAGTTTTAAACACCCTAAACTCACTACTTTTTACGATGTATTTAGCCTAGTTAAAGGGTCAGACACACTTGTTGAATACTAAGTAAAGCTATAGAATTTATATTTTATGTGACTAAACTAGAAGTATTTTCTTTGTGGCTGGGTTTGCATTAATAGACACTTTATATTGATGTCGCCGAACAAAAACAATATATACATTTTCCCAGCGGCCGTTCTCATTTTAACATTAATAAATAATAGCAAAGTAATAATAATATTTGTGAAATGTACTTTGCGGTTTCTGCAACAGAAAAACTCATTTGCTCTGAAAAAAAATCGTTATAACAAATGTCTGTTTCTCGTTGCTCGTTAAATAAATCCGCGATACATGGTCATAAATAAGTTAACGACAACAAGTTTACATTATTTTGAATATTAACTAAACAAAATCAAGCAGTTAATATATTTTGTGTACGCCTGTGGACGGTTTAACCAAAAAGACTTTAAAGTTTAATTAAGCTCAGAGTCGTAATAGGAAAATTAAAGATTCTTTGACATTTACACACATTTTTCTTTGAGTGCATTTGCTGCAAGTCATTCGATTCTAATTATGTTTACGATACCACCCACACAGTGAAAAAAGCATTGGTCGAAGATAAAATTCCACAAGTGAACGAAGCGTAAGCAAAAACTGCAAAGTGCATCGCATTCCACAAATTGCGTTTGGTCTCGTCTTTTGTTTTTAATCAGATTGTATTTGTATTTGAATACGGTATCAGTGAAATTAATTTTAAGGCAAACAAAATTATAACAACTCAAATAGTTCTTATTTGCTTTAAATATTTGTCAACTGATCTCAAGATTGTTTATAATCGAACTATTGTTATCTAAAAATCTAACTGATAATTGTACGATATTACTACTTAAAAAAAGTAGAAGTGGTTTTGTCTTTCCTAAAAAGTAAATTTTAATTTAAAACATATTTAATGTGCTTACTTTTCAGTTTTCCCATTATGGCGTTTCCTTAGATTTTCTTGCACTGAAATTTCGACGATGTGTTTTTTTTAAACAAAATTCATTCAAAAGTTCTGTAAAAAGAATGGTTTTAAAATTGAAAACGCAAAAATGTTAAGGAACAATACATACCTTGGGAACAATATATTTGCCAAAGGGAAATACGAGAATAGATATATTTATAGATAAATGTTGTTTCTCCAAAATAAAGGCAAAAATGCTTTGGCAGAATTTTTGTAAGTTGTTTAAATAAAAACAATTATTTTTCAAACTTCCAAATATCTACTTGACATATGAAAATGTAATCTACATATGTATGTAGATATTGCTGTAAGGACAAGGACCTAACACTTAAAACAAATGATCGTGTAAATTGATATCCTCCTACCTTTCCGGTGTCCAAAGGCTAGTCCATAAGCTCCTTACATTCCATAGTTATCCTTCAGCACCCTTACTTGAATCGAAGGGGCGTTCCAAGGATAATCCCAAAAACGCAAAACGCCGACATTACCTAGCCAAACAGGATATATGCTTATTACCAGTTTTACCCGAACATAACGTTATAGTCTGGCTAATCCTTGTAGTCTTTAAATTCCTGCAACAAGGGCCATTCTTGTCCGGGGTCCTTTAGCTTTCTATATCACGTACTTTCCAAAAAATTTCGTATTCGCGAAACAAACAAATGTAAATAAACAAGGCCGAGAACATCTGTTCAACAATCGATAAGCATAATCGATAGTTGAGCGGATGGCAGCGCCATGAACTCCAAGAGCTGCCACTTTGTTAACAGCCCGCCAAACTTCACATATTTAAAAATAAATTATAAATTCAAGAACCCTGGTGTGATAAATTATAAATATCTTTAAATATATCTAAATTAAAGGAAATCCATTCATAAACAATAAAAAATCAGTTAAAAAAAGACAAACAAATACAATTCAAAATGAATTGCCATCTGTCAACGGTAACCATTATTACCTAGTCTGGCAACGCTTCTAATAGCCCGCCAAAAATTTCAAATTCAAAAGAATTATACAACTTCCGGTGTTTTGCTCTGTACAATATTTATTAATTACGATTTTTGCGGGTCATGCATGCATCAAAGTACTTCTTACAGATAAATTATTGCTTATGGCGCTCTTTTCGGTTCTCGAGACGGCCCTAGTACGTAAATCGTTCACAAATGCTTAAACTGGGCTGACAGGAATCTTAATTTAGCGAATAATACAAGTCGTATATATAGATTACATAGATTACACATATTGATACTTCCGTGTGTTTAATTGATATTGATCAATGGCCGATTGGATTGATTGATGCTTAACAATTGAAGTTAGTTAAATAAATTAAATACCTCTAGTTTGATTTTAAGCTGCTACAAAATCGCTTGATTTCTTCATTTGACGTTTCAAAAAAAAAAAAAAAAAAAAAAATCTTTAAGAGACAACGCTATTGCGACACGATTCGTTTGCTTTCTCCCGTCCAACTCAGTGATTTTAAATAGTTCTTAGGTCTAGAATGTTGAGACTACAAACAGGGAGAATCGGGGATTATAGACGACATTCAGCTGCAGGATTACGCGCAGGATCTCGCCCTCCGCTGGAAGCGCTTCATGCGACGATACCAGTCCTCCTTCCACTCGATTACGATGGAGTGCGGCCCGATGCCCAGATAGCCAGGAGGCGCCTCCGAGTCCCGACCCAAGATCAAATAGGATCTGGAAGAAAAGCAGGGATTAAAACATATTCCATTTAAATAATATTTACTATATTAAACTATATTAAAAATGAAATGATACAAGATATGCCGTATATATGCTATGCTGCTCTCTCTCTTTCTAATAATACATTTTTAAAGATCATTGAGCCAACCCGTTCCTAATAGATTTGCTGACCTGTTCACTCTGATCTTGGGGCAGCGGCACTCCAGGTTCTTAGTCGGTATGATCCAGGTCATAGGACCGCGTTTTAGGGTTGTACTCGGCATTCCATACACGCTCCCCGCGCCGCTGCTTTCGCCTGTTCTGCTGCGCTTGAAGACGGCCTGGATCTGCAGATCGAAGCGAACCACTCCTGGATACTCCGCCTCCGCCTCCGCCTCCTCCGCCTGCAACTCGTACTCCGGGGTATTCGGCCGATACCCCGGCCGATCCTGGTCCATTTCGTAGTCCGCCGCGTCGGGATCCATTCCGCGCCGAGGAGACTCCCGGCTTGCCGCCTCGCTGCTCGTATCGCGACCAATTACTTTTGCCATTATTGCTGCAAGAGAATTAAGTTGGATTATTACAAGTTTCGAGTGGGAAATAAGATAAATTCCACTACAGGTTATGTGATTTATATTTAAACTGTTTATAAAAGAACTGCACAAAATTAAAAACCATGATGAAGAAGTAAAAAAAAGAACAGCTGTCTGTTTCAACAACAAAATCCTTTTAATCAATAAAACAACTAAACTGAATAACCAAAGCATAAGGTGCCTTTTACAGCAAAATAAATTTCTTAAGCATTAAACAAAAAAATAAGTATTTTTAATACAAAGTACGTATACGTAATTTCGTATTGATTAAAGGCATTTCTACTTAATAAATAATTTGAACGCACCGTAATCTCTTTTGCAGAACTTGTTTAGGTTTAACCTTTTGGTGCTGACTTTGCATTTGCCGCATTCTGAAATTATAAATAATATTTACTTGAAATTAGTAAGCTGAGTCAAATAATTCCCTGTTCGCTCTGTGAGGTCCTCGGAAAAACAAGGAATGCGCCACACAGAGCGAACAAAATCACATCGAAGTTTCACAGATGACATGAAGCTGAGCGAATCGGGGGAATTGGATCGGAGTGATATTGTGTTAGAGGTTAATTGGGGGAAGGATTTCAATGGGGAGGCTGTGCTGTACTGCCCTTTTTCTAGGGCCTTTTCCCCTCCCCCTCCACCACCCCCTCCCCCGGCAACTCATCTCTTTTCGCCTTGTCCTTCGGTTGGGGCATTCACATTGGTGTTTACAATTTAATTGCGAAATTTATGTCTTTATGGCCAATGCCAATTAGCAGAAACAGTGGCAGCAACAACGGGCAGTAGTGCTCGATCAATTTTACATTAAGACTGCACTGCCCCGCCTGCCTGCTTAATTTCGTGTAGAGAGAACAAATAGGAGTACTCATATAAAAAAAATTATTTAAAAATTTGGATCAAAAATTAAAGGTTTCATTTGAAGTGGAAAATATTGGCTTCCAACTATTCATCCGGAATTATTGAAAGTATTTACTATGCTTACATTAATTTTGTGATTTTCATTATTAGGTTTATTATCTATTTTATTCTCTCTGTGCATTTTGACTTCGTGCCTTGGGCCGCCTTTTGTGGCGACTAAAATTAGCCAATAGGTTTTTATTTTGCCTTTTTCCTTCGGCTGGGAATCGCATGTTGCATTGTTGCTCTTTCTGCCGCCGATCGCAATGTCAAAGCAAACGTGACACAATTGCGGCAACTTCTCGATCTCTTTGTGGCACAAACATTTATATTAAATGGATGGAGGGGTTTAAAAATCGATTAAACAATGGATAGACTTCGAGTTCAAAATTAAAAGCAAATCCCAAACCGAAAGTAAAAATGGCACTTTCCCTTTTCTATTTATGGAGCTTTGCCCTCGTCTCCGATTTAAGTAAATTTTCCGATGCACTTAGCAAACAAACGATATTTATCGCCGTCATTTAAAGATCATTAGCCACGCCCCGAATACGAACGAAAATATCCGAAAATAAAGACGGGAGATTAGAAAATTCTGAGTCATCACTCGGGAATCCCTCATTTGGCAATTGTGGCTAAAATACTTTCAGTATGTAGGTGTTGATGTGGGCCACAGAAGTTCTGGGAAAATATGTGGAAAATTCTGAAGTAAATTAAAGTACCTAAAGACCAGGAATTTACTTGGCATTCTCTGATAAATTTCCTGTAGTTTCTTCTTTGTTTCAAGCATTTAATTTACAAATAAAATAGAAAATTCTAAGATTCTTTCAATCAATTTAAATTGAATTAAATTTATAGTTTCTCTTCCTGAAAGCCAGCCAGTCTCGCCAACTTTAAAATCGACTTGTGCAAATTTGAAGCAAACATAAATCTTCCGAAAATTCGCCAGTCATCAAATTAACATAACATCAAAATTGACCCACGACCCCGACGGGCAAACATTGTGGGGGCAACTAACTTTAAATTAACTCAAACTCGGGTAGAATTTTAAATTAATTTAATAAGATTATCAAATTATGAATTCGTAATTAACATTCATGCCCGTGTTGAATGGCGGTGGGCGCGGCGATAAGGGGGCAAAGTAGGGGCATGCCACGCCCCCTCATGTTGTGCCAATGAATGGCAAAGGACGAACTTTTTCGCAGAGCCTGTGAGTTTCTCTGTCTCTGTGTCGTGTGTCCATTTGCCCAACTCGCTTCTTGGTTACAGCGAATGGCAAACTTTCCGCCGACAACGCCGACAACTTTTACCAACTTGCGCTTTTCTTTGCCGTTGACAAATAAATTTAAGATTGCCCGCCTCTTTAAACGCAGTCGCCATCTCAGTTTTCAGTTTTCATTTTGCAGTTTTTTAGTTTGCAGTCTGCAGGTCGATTTGCATTTTGGCAGGAGAAGTAGAAAGGAGTGGGCAACTTGATATGCAACAATTGCAGCCAGGAATGGATCCTAGTCGTCTGGCAGCTATTCATATCCTATTGCAATTTTAATGGTTTTTATGGATTTTGCAGCAGGAGCAGCTCACAAAATGTTCTTTTCATAGTTCGAATAATTAAAAAAATATATTTAGCTATGCTTACCATAAGGGGTATTAAATTTATTTTAAATTTTAAAGCTGATTATGCCCGCTATTTATAATAGAAATATGTATTAAGAAATCTATTTAATATCTAGCAATTAAGATATTTTGTGAAAGAAATAAATAAACAAAATCCTACACCCCTTTCAACCTCCTCAAATTTTCCAGATAATTCACAAAAACGTGTTCCCTAGTAAATGTAAAAACTTAATTTTATTCTTGGCCATCTATCCTTCGCTTCTTCACTTGGCCATTTGAAGTTGGCAGTGTGACTCTATTATGATTAACTCGACGCTTATAATTCCTGTGGCTGCTCAAGTTGCCCAGTCAATTTGTCATTGTTTCCATTCGCAGCTGCATAAACGGCTCATCCTGTCGTCCTTTTCGTCCTGCGAACCAAGCACCCCATCACCCATCTCGGCTATCCTGCGCTGACTTTGTCTAATGCCTTCAGCAAATAGTTGGCAGCAATTAGCGAGGCACTCGAAACTGGACACAGTGGGTCTGAAAAGTAGGCGGCTGACTGCTCTTCTCGCCGCTGCAGCAGCAGCTTATTCATGGGAAATTAAATAAAAAACTTTTTTAATACATTTGCTTTGCCAAGTTTCGCCTGCTTTATCTCTTCCCCTCTTTTTCTACACTTACCACTTTCCACTTTCCACTTTCATCTTTCCTCTTCCCTTTTCTATATTCTTTATATTTTTTGTGATGTTCCTTTGGGGTCTTTAGAGTATTTGTTGTTGCTACTGTTTAAATACCCTATAGTCCTTGAATATTTTGGGTGAACAGAGGATTTGTGGTAGGATCTTTAATTCGCAATAAATAAATCTCTCGTTCTGAAATATTTTACCCAGATATGGTATCGTATTTTATTTGAAGGTTTCTCTATTATAATATTTATATTAAATATTAAACAGAAACAGAAAGTATTAAAAAATTTATAAAGAATGTACATTTCTAATTCCCAAAAAATCTCTTTAATAAGAAAACAGAATTTAAAACCTATTTATATTTTATCCAGCATCTAAACTATACCTTTTATTTAAGTGGATTAATTTAAAATAATACAATTTAGAAACCCAACTTTTTTTATAATATTATAGCTGAAGGATATTTTAAGTTGGTACCCTCTCTTTTCGATTCCGAGTCTCTATTATTTTCTTGGCATTTTATTGCAAAGTTTGTTTTGCTTCGAGTGGAAGTGGGATGGAACTGGGCTTAGTATGATTTATGCTGCGTGGCGCATTTTGTATGCTTGTTGCATTTCGCAATGCCCCCCTTCCCCTTCCCCTTCCCCCTCTCTTTCCGCTCCCCCGAGGCCCCACTGTACCTTCCGCGCCACTGTAAGTAAAAGTTGCGTGCAAACATTTGCGTTGTCTGCTAAGTGCCGCTGTCTACCCGTCCCTTTCCCACCCACGCGGCTCCTTGCGGCGCTCCTTGTTTTTCCGCTTCCACTTTTCCTGACCGACAACCGACTGCACTTTAGCGGATTTGTGTTTTCTCACCCATTTGAAAGGATTACAAAGGCGAGCCAAGCGCCGCGGCAAACGGCGAGCCTTCTTCGCCTTCGGGCCAAGGACAGTGGGCCCTCGCTAATGGGCAACTCGGGGGATTAATTACTTCTGCAGCAACAGTTCAGTGGGGGTTTTAGTTCGTATTTATAAATGGACGGGCAGCTTACAGGCATCGTCTCTTAAAATAAAAGTTATATTGAAAAAAGCTATACAAAGTACGTTCGTCTTGAATATTTAATTTAATATAATTTACTTAGTGTATCTAAGTATTTCGAAATTATTGTTAAATTATTTCCTCAATCTTTAAACCCTTTTCCATAGCACAGAAAATGAACTCAACTTTCAAACAATCTTTCAAACTTTTCAACTAAGTCCATATTTTTATGATCTTGTAAATCCCTTAAATTAATAACTCTCATTTAAATTTCGTCCGTTCCTTTTACCAGTACTCTACTGTATCCACCGATAAACAATACTACCAGTTAGCAAGAGCACTCGCGAATGGGAGGATGGCAAAGGGTTTTGCGGGTCGGGGATTGGGGATTGGGGGATTGGGTATCCGGATAGTCGGTTAGCACACAAAACACAACAGATAGATATGGATATGAGAGGTGGCACTTACTTACCCCTGCCGCCCTCGGTGCGATAGTATTGGTTCTGGGCGGCCATTCCGGAGGCGCCACCGCGATCGCCGCCGTTTCCTGGCGAGGATTGCGGCTCATCCGGTTCGGGGGCGGTGTTCTGGGTGTCCAGCATGTTGATCATCCGCGGCGGTTGCTCTGCGGAAAGGGAAAAGGATTGTTGAATAACTGAAGTCCATTTTAACCATACTGTAAGGCATTCACTAGTTTAATGTTTTATTTGGATAGCAAACCATTTATAAAAGAGACTAAATAATATAATAATAAATAAACTAAACACCTAATTAAATAAAACATAATTATTTCATTATGTCAATTAAGAGCTATACAGCTATCAATCTTTCGAAAAAAAGATAATAAATAAAAAGATTATCCAACTTTATATAAAAAATAATACTAATAAAATATAATTTTATTATTATATAATAAAATATAATAATTATAACTATTTCAAACTTAAAAGCTTTAAAAAAGGACTGAAAACAGTACAATATTTAGAAAATTCCCTTTTCCAATTCTCTATAATTATATAGTAAATAACATATATACTCACTGATGCAGGGGGCGATGTGGGAGCGGCTCTGCTGGTATCCTCTGGCGCATCGGTTGCAGGTCAGTCCGGTGACCCCGTCCTTGCAGGGACATTGACCGCTGGTGCTGTTGCAGATCTTGCCAGATGAGCCGATCGGGTGGCACTCGCAGGCTGCAAAAATGCAAAAAAAAGAGATATGTACCAATTAGCCTGGCTATCTACACATATCGCAAATAAGAAATATATCTGCTGGGGGGTGAATGAGAAACAAGATGCAGATGCTGCTGAACTTTTCGGAGCGTGCTGAGAACTTAATGGACGCCGTGGTGCAGTGCGGCACTTCAAAGCCAAAATGGCAATCGGCAATCGCCAATCGCCGCCGGAATCGCCAATCTGGTCCACTTGAGTTTTACTTAAAGCCTTTCAAGTTCTGATTCCCAAACTGACCGTCCTTGCCGCAGCGGATTCGTTTATGAGCCGTGGAAATGTACATTAACAGATGCGATTACGCTTCGAGTACTCCGTTCGAATCCGTATTCATATTCGTATTCATATTCGTATTCGCATGCGAATCTCCCGGCAAATTGAGTGCACGTCGCCAGTTAACGGCTGTCCGTTCTTTGTCCGTTCGTTGTCCGTATCTTGTCCGTCCGCACACGGTTAATTGCAAATGAGAGTGCAAATGGGCCCGCCCAGCATTATATAGTATTCTGCTCAGCCCGTCCTTCCTTTTGCTTTACGGAATCAGTTGCACTCGAACAATGCCAGTGGTTCGGTGGAAAAAATTAAAATCATCAGAGGTGGAACTGAAATTATTCAATTATCGAATCCACTTGGGAATCCGCTTTTAACTACACTTTGGTAAAAATATGTAAAAAACAAATTTTCGATGCTCTGTAGCTCTGCTTTTATTTTAGTAAATAAATAATGGAAAACATTCAAAATTGAATAAATGCTATGAAATTTATCTATACTTTGTTTGGTAATTTTTTTAGATTTCTGATGGAGCCAACTTATTTTAAGACAAGACGAACTGCTTGTTAATAAAACGTTTCTCAATTTTCAAATATTTAGAAACGTGTTATTACAGTCTTTCTCTTTCTGTTTCAACTCCAATTACATACAACTTATTTTAATTTTATATAATTTTGTTTGGGTTGCCTTCGTTTACTTTCTCCACTGGCGCCCTCTGCCGGTCACTTCTGGCGCAAGGGAAAAATACAGAGGAAAAGCACACAGAACATACTTTATTTCACGATTCTTGTTCTTATTTCGGGGGATTATTTGTGTGATGTGTGTCGGTCTGAGACTATTATGAAGGACTCCGCTGTTGTTTCTTCAGCTGGGTTGCTTCTCTGTGGGTTGTTTAGTTAATAAGCCGCTTTCGGCCACATTTAATGGGTCTTTGCGACGGCTCTTGGCCAAAAGCTGTTGCATATTTAAAGATTTAACTTGTGTGTGCCATTGCCATTGGTTGCCAAGTGCGAAGGCAGACAGCTGGGGGTTAAGTTCTGAGTAGGCTAAGGTCCTTGTCACAGGTTTTCAATGCACACCCAAACCATTTAACCCATTAAAAGAGTATACAAGTAACCTTGTGAACAATATTTATGCCAGCTAGTTATTTATATCAATATGGATAAAACTGTTTGAGTAACAATTTGCTTTATACATAAAGCAATTTGGCTTCATTTTTATTCAGACTTATTTTATATTCATTAAAAGAAATCTTTTTTTTCCAGTAAAAATTAAATCAACAATACAAATTTCAGCCATTGCAATAGTTTAAGTCCCTTAATCGTTTTTAAATGGAACTTAAACTGAATTGGGGAGTATATTTTTTACGACTGCAACTTAATGGGTTAACTAGGCCTGCAGTTCATCCCCATTCCCCCCGAAATCCCTCATCCCCCTCCCCATTTCTCATATTGCCGTGTTCGTTTCGCGCGTTCGTGCAACATTTGGTAATTTAATCCGATTTACAATAAATTAAATGCGATTTATATGCACACAGTGACACATCCGGATGATAACAACAACAATAACGACAACAGCAACAACGGACAATAATAACTTGCAACAACAGCAACAATTCCGTGTGTCCAATGCCCATTGTTGCCTGCGGGGCGTTTCATACTCAGCAAATGGCACAGTGGGACGAAAAGTGGAAAAATAATATATAATATTTACAACATATTTAAAAATAAATTTATAATTCATAGAGATTTAAAAAATCTGAAATTAGTAAGGGAATTTCAGGAATTATACGTTTTTTTTTTTGGAATCGCAATCAAATAGTTAGTTCTTTTTAAATAAAATTGTACACTTACAATTTTACATTTTATTATTTAAAATCTTTTAAAAATGGCTTTTTTTAACAACAATTTTAAAATGCTTGGGTTCAACATCCTGAGTATTTAAAAGACAACTGATAACTGATAATAGGTTCAGTGCTTTTGTAGTGTTATATCATCTGAAATATAATCCTGGTTCCACTGTGCCACATTCGGTGGGTTTGGGGGCAACAATATGACAACAATATGCGAGTTGTGTGCGTCGCGCTATCTGCGAACAGCAGAGCGTGGATGTGGAAGGTCCAGTTGGAATGGAGTCCAGGGGATATGGGATATGGATATGGGATATGGGATGTGGGATGTGGGAGTTGGAGCTGGGAGTCGCAGCTCTTGGATATTGTTAAAATACGCAAGCCAGAAAAAAGCGAGAGAGCGAAGTGAACGAGTTCATTACACATCGTATCATCGTATCAGTGGACGGCATTGGCATTGGCATATATACGAGTATATATCCCAGTATCCGGAACCCATCTGGATACCCGGAATATGCATTCCATATGCTCCGCCCGGATTTTCCTCTCATTTTCCCATTTGTGAGTGCGTTCTTTTTTTTGTTTTGCCCCTTTTGCGGGGTTTTTATCCCCTTTGCGAGGTAAAGATTATGAATTTTCATTATGGCCAGCGAACAGAAATGGCAAAAAGTGCAAAATGTGGGATATATGTTCAGTGAAGTGGCTTCATTTTCGCAGAGCCATTTGCATTTCTATTTAATTATTGAGTGCACTGTGATTCAGGATGATTCAGGGATTCCCTTTCACCGAACTTCCTTTTAATTCAACCCAAATCAGGCTTGAATCATTTGGCTTTGGGTGAACAAAGAAGTCGTGTAGCCCGTCACTTCTTTTTGGCTTATCCGGATCGATTTGGGTCAGGGTTCCCCAAAATAAATGAGCTCCTAATGAGAGTAGTCTTCCCCTCCGGATGAATCATTCGAGACAAGAAGCGAAACGACTGGCCATTTGATATCTTGGATTCCAGTGAAAGTGAATCAAACTGGGATGTCACAAATTACTCTTGATTAATTACTGGTTATTAACATAAGCTGAATGTGAATTTATGACAGGGAAACTCTAAATTTAGCTGAGATTTATAAAAGGAAACGTTCAAGATAGTTTAAATGCACACTTTATTCCTTCCTCTGCAAGTTAACCATCAATTATGATTATCAATCGAACAATTATTGATTCATATTTCCCCGCGTTATTCACTCACCAATGAAAATGGGTGATATAAGGCCAATATCCACTCATTAGATCATTGATTTAACACGAATCGAAAGTTACCTCATTGGACGACCTATTAAACAGTTGAGTACACAGAAATAAATGTACTCGTTCCCATGTGCGTGTGTTCCGAATATAAATCCATATACCATATATATGTATATATGGCCATGTTTATTCACATTTTCAGGTATGTTTTATAGCATCTGCCAAGCACGGATATTTTTAAATCAATCATTCGCAGTGCGGCCTGGCATTCATTTCTAGATGAAATAACCAGAGTTTGTGTGTGTTTTTATTTCCACCTTCACTTTCCCTCCAACCCCTTGACCCATCGACCCTTTTTGCGCTTAATTTGGACAATTTTCTGGCTTTGAATACTTCGATTTCAATTTTGCTTGCCATTTTTCAATGCCACACAGTAGGAAAAACAGCGATCCAATGATGATTGATTGGGTAAATAAAGTTGAAGGAAAAGAGGATGTGAAATTGGTTACAACATTCTGTTTTTCATTGTAAGAATTCTTTATGCAGCAAATAAAATATAGAAAATTAGGAAAAATAAAGAAGAAATACAAAATCGTATTTCCCCACAAAAGATTTCTCTTTCCATGAATTAAATAATAACATTTCATATTTCAAATATACTTTTCTTATCATTTGCAATTCCAGGTAACCTTAAATTGCAAATCTTTCAACAAAGTTTAGGTTTAAAGAGAAGTAAATTCGAATAGTGAATTCCCACATCCTGTTTTTCTTTCCTGAATTTCATATTAAAAATCCATAATCCAGATACATATTTTTCTTCTTGTGCAATTCCAGGTAGCCTTAAAATCTGCTCTTATTTTTCTTGGCGCTCGCTTCCTTTGCCCGGAGCACAAAAAATTAATTAAGCACCACCCACTCGCGTTTCCCCAAAAGCAAAAGCAAAGTACCAACAACAAGGCAAAGTGTAAACATCATAAAGCAAATCAAGCGCAATTTGTTATTGTTTATTTCAACTTTGCGCAAGCGAAAATCCCCCCTGATTTTCCACTGACCAACGGAGGAAAGTGCGTTACATAAATTCACCGCAAAAGTCTCTTCCTCGGCCATCAATTGCCAGAAAATATTACCCGAAATTTTCTAGTCCACCAGCGACGAAAGGCAAAAAAAACGAAACAGAAAAAGAGGAAACAAATCGGAGGAAAAAAGAGGAAAATTGTTAGCCATAAAGAGCACAGCTGGCAGTAGTCAGAAGCTATTGTTGATGCTGCTATTTGTTATTATTAGCAAAAACAAAAGCCCAAAGAGCCGCGCGAATTTACCAAGAAAACCAAACAGTCGAAGGAAGAATTATGAAGAAGATTTCGCAGACAAAGTCTGATGATTTGCAGTGAGAGATTACACCTGACCAAGTGGCGGGTCCAGAATTCAGCCGGCGTTGTCTGCAGATCCCGTCTGGAACACTAACCAGACCGGATCGAATATATATATGTGGGTATATGGGCTGTATGTCTGCATTCGCGGGAAATCCATTTGTGCAACGAGGCAGTGGGAAAATGAAAAACATGTCAAGAAGTCAGAGGGAACTAGCTGAAGATTTTAAAGAGGGAAA